GGGGCACGGCAGGACACGGGGTCACAGGGGGGACAGGGACACGGGGGACACAGCAGGACACAGGATCACAGGGGGACAGGGACACGGGGGGCATGGCAGGACACAGGGTCACAGGGGGGACAGGGACACGGGGGGCATGGCAGGGCATGGGCATGGGGTCACAGGGGGGACAGGGACACAGGGGGCACAGCAGGATGTGGGTTCAGGGCACGGGGTCACAGGGGGGACAGGGACATGGGGCCCTTGAGGACAAGGACAGGAGGCACAGGGGGCACAACAGGACAGGGTCACAGGTCATGGGGGGCACAGAGGGGACAGGAGGGCCATGGGGGACAAGGGGCATGACATGGGACATGGGGGACATGGAGGACACCAGTGGGGGACAGGGGACACAGACACAGGTTGGGAACAGGGGGCATGGGGGACTATAGGGGACAAGGGGCACAGCGTGGGACATGTGGGGACATGGGGTGACATGGGGGACACGGATGACAGACAGAGGACATAGACAAGACTGGGGGACAGAGGACATGGGTGGGAGATGGGAACAGAGGTGACACATCGTGGAGGGGACATGGGGGATACACGGGAACGGGGGGACATGGGATACGGTCATGGAGGACACAGGGGACATGGGGGGACAGGGGTGGGGGACGGGGACACAGGTGACAGGACAAGGAGGATGCAGGGGACACTGAGGAATGGGGGAGTGGGGACAGGGACAAGGACATGGGGGGCTTGGGGGGGATGGGGAACAAGGACGGGGGAAATGGGGGAGTGGGACAGTGATACAGGTGGGGGAGGGGGACACGAGTGACACGGGTGAGGGACAGAGACAGGGGTGACACGGGGGACACAGGTGGGACACAGGTGGGACCAGGGGGACGCAGCCCCCCCCAAGGTAGCCCCAGTGTCCCACCAAGTGTCACCCGTGAGAGGTCCCTGCATCCCCGGGGGGTGGTTGAGAGGTGACAGGGGGGCGGGGTGTGGTGGCTGCTCAGGGGTTTGGGGTCCCTCCCCCCGCCCCTGCCGGGGCCGGGCCCCCCCCGGGCAGTTACTCACATCCGTGGGGGTGGGGTGGGGGGGA